TAAAATAATTGAATAATCATTTTAATTGTTGAATTGATCTTAAATGTTACTAATTGAAATTGGTTTAATTATTGGTAAATAAATATAAAAATCGTAGTTCGTGAGAAATGTTAAATGATATGTAAATTCTGATTAATTAATAGATCGATAAGATCGTGCACTGAACATGGATTTTGTATTGCAAGAGATTGTGACATCAATGGTTACATTGTAATACAAAGTTACTTATTTTTAAAATTAATTTACTTTGTTTTAACGTAAAACTTATCAAATCCAATATCAACATTTAGCAAAATTTCGAATTAAATAGTTGAGCAAGATAGAGGACATGAATTTACTTCGGATTGATTATTATCAATGAAAAATAACGTATTAATTGCATTGTTGGTTGAAATTACTGATCAGATAAGAATGATCTATCTGAAATGAATATGTAAAATTCACACTGATTTAGCGCAAAAATCATCTTCTATAGATAAGGATTATCAACGAGGTTATATAGATATTTAGAACAATTATTGTGTGTATTGAAATTTTCGTAATAAGGATTTTTTTTTTTTTTTTTTTTTTTTTACTGTCTTTAGCTTCGTTATCTCTGTTTGCACATTATTTTTCTTACTTTTAAGCGCCATTTTTTTCTCTAAAATAATAAATCCACTATAAATTATAGTTTTATGGTTCTGGTACATTAGAATGTTGTATTTAAACATATTTTTTACACTCCATCAATAGTCCATAGATTTTGTCTTTTCTCATTTTAAGTAATACCATCGCGACAACGTATCTTTGTACTTATCAACTTTAGACTGACGTAACATAAATAAGAGAAGTAGAGAGAGAGAGAGAGAGAGATATTATGATGATGATGTGCTTTAGAACTTGTATTATTAACAGAGAGTCATATTTGGGATGATATTGATTACTTCAATGATACTTGTAGAATTTTTGATAAAAGAGAAAACGTAGTCGGGAAAATATTCTGCCTCTGAAAAAGTAATCTGGCATACGCGAATGAATCATTATTATAATGCGCAATTCATAATAATAAGTTGAGCCAATCGAGCACTATAATAATTGCAAAATGCATTACGTCCGTTAGCGGGGAAATACCTAGATTGACATTGACACTCGTTCATTGCTTATTTGCATATTGAAAAGTCAGATTCATATACGACTTCTTAAAGAAAGAAATTACAATGAATGAATGAATTTTTTTTTTTTGCTTCGAATGCGATGTGTGATTAAAAAATCGATTATTATGCATATGAAATTTTTAAAATATCTTCCAATCAGTTATATGTAATTGAATTGTTACTAACGACTGACGATACTGACGACGGTTTATAAAAATCTTATTATCATAAACAATAACATTGATTGTCGATGATGCTTTTCTAGTCGAATAGTGGTATTCACTCGAATAACGTGAAAGCTTTTTCGTGCTATTAACAGTTAAATTTTGTAATATAATATTATCATTTGTATTGTGGATATTAATAGGGCAAATAAATGTTACATCAACAGCCCGACCTTTGACTCATACAAATTTACAAGACAATCAAGTGTGCGCTTGTTTTTTCCGTCTTAATTCGTCAAACAAGAGGGATCCCATTCATTACGGAG